ACTTAATGGCTTGTTAATGGTGCGTGTCGGGATTTATGCACTCGAATGACCGCCAGACACTCAGCAGTGTTGCATATTTTGCCACTACCTCCATTAACAATAAGCCGATGTCGACTTTCTCCATCCTTTTAACAACTAAATAAATAAAGTGCCAACAACAAGCAACTGATCCTTTTTCGCAACTATTGTGTGTATTTGTGTGCTCTTGGCGTCTATATTTCGAGTGCGTCCGTCAGACGGTCAGCGCTAATGGCAGTCGCCACTTTGTAGTCAATTGACTGGATGGCGACAAGCCGCTTTTGCTCGGCTGTTCAGCATAGCATGTTTCACGGCAAACATTTTTCAATTGCATTTATGTTTCCTATATTCACTACCGAGCACTACATTTAGTAGCAGGCAGGGACCGCAACAGTTACAAATATTATTAAAAAAATCGCTCTTTAATAGTTATTTTTTTACTTTTATTTAATTACTCTTCAAATAACAGATATTTCTGATTTTTATTTTATAAATCTAAAATAACAATTATTTTTTATTTTTAACTAAATAATCTGTAAATAAGAGTTATTTTTGATTTTTAAATTGTATGTCTTAGATAACAGTTATCGAGGACTTTTATTTATAAAATCCGTCAGTGACTTTTACTTTTAAAAGTCATCAATATAAAGCAGTCACTGATTTTTGACTTTTAAAAGCAAAAGTCACTGACTGATTTTTAATGATGACCTTTATAAATAAAAGTCTTCGATAACTGTTATCTAAGACATATAATATAAAAATCAAAAATAACTGTTATTTGCAGATTATTTAAATAAAAATCAAAAATAAATGCTATTTTGTATTTATGGAATAAAAATCAAAAATAATTGTTTTTTTTTTAATTATGCATAAAAATTGCAACAATAAATTCATTTTTAAATTTGATTCTCGGTGAAAAAAGAAATCAATTTGTATGTATCACTTAGTTGTAGAACATTTCCTTCATAGTGAATTTTTCAATGACAGTTTTCATCAATAACTGTTATGTTCGGTCCCTGGCTGCAATTTAATTACGCTCACTTTAAGGATGGCAAAAAAATGATCGGTTAATTAATCATATGACTAATCACAACCCAAAGAAAAATTAATTGCAGTCATTTGCAATTATTGATGAATAATCGATTTATCGAATTTTTACAGTGAGTATTCACAAAAACATTTTTCCATAAAAAATTCCTTATTCTCTCGTTAAGTATCCTTAAATAAAATAAAACGAGTATTTTTAGCGACGATAATTATTTATTATTTAACTATGTAAGTTTGCAACAACAAAAGTTTGATAAGTGTTTTGTTGTTAAGCGGTAGCGTTTCGCGGTGGCACCAGCTTTTGAAAAAAGGCGCTCAGCAATCACCGAGCTACCAACTAAATGACAGTCCGAAGGTCCGTAAAGTTTTGTGTAAACAGTTTTCATTTCCTCCCAAGCGTCGAAGATATTTCACTTTAGTTCAAGGTGGGAATGTTAATCCCGGAATCCCGGGACCCCTGGGTCCCCGCCTTTTTAGGTTTAGATTCTTGGTAGATAATTCCGAGAATTGTAATTTGCACTGGTGGCATTAATAGAAACTTTTTTGTTGACTAGCGATGGCTTTATTTCTTTTTTCCATTTAATAATTAATATTTTTTTTATAAATGTCTAGCTCATAACACATATGTATAACACCGTCCGATAGTAAATTTTACACACAAAATTACAATATATTCACGAAATAAAATTGCTTTTTTAATTTTTCACTCTGACATCAGTAATTCAAATATGATTTAAAAAATTCAGTGAAATATTCTTAGAGAAAAAGTATGGGTATCGAATAAAAGAGAAAATTTTGCAGAATTTAAACATGGGTGAGTATTGAAAATGTTCCTTAAAACTTTTATACTTTATTATCCTTGAAATTTTGCAATGTTTATTTATGAAAAATTATATGTTAAGGACTTATATAAACTCGATAACATCCTCGAATTTCATCCTTCTACCCTTATCAGCTTAAAAAATTACCTATTCGTCCTTGTGAATCCAAAATGTTTAATTTTCAAATTCTAAATAAATTTTCTCTTTCATTTGGTACCCAAATTTTTATTGTACATTGCACTGATTTTTTTTAAATAATTTATTGAATTAGTCATATCTTTGAAATTACAAACTCCTTTAAAATAAATCCTGATGTCAGAGTGAAAAACTAAAATCGCGGCTTTACTATATTTGGTCCACGGATTCGCGAATATATTAGGGGTATTCACGATCCGGCGCATACTGTCTAGCATGGTGCATTCATAGAATAGATAGCATGATTGGAAAATTTTGTTGTTGTTTGAACACATGAAACATCAACAAAATTATCCAACCATGCTATCTATGCACCATGCCAGACAGTATGCACCGGATCGTGAATACCCCTAATGTTTCTGTAAGTGCATGCCTGGCATCGACATATGTATGTATGTAAGTATGTACACCTCTAAGCAATGCTGTGGTTATTTGTTTCGTCTATTGCCGGCTCACCTAATAGGTCTACCCGGCTGCCTGGCTGTTGCTTTGCTCCCTTTATGTGTCGTTGGCTTGCTGTTGGTGCATTTGTCATCCGGGTGGGAGGTAAACAATAGTAAATGCTAACAAAGAAGCAGACACACAACGCTAGCTCGGTGACAATTTCGTAAACAAAATCAGACACCAGAAAGTTGGTAAGTCAGTGCAGCTGTGGTGGGCATCGACAAGAATCAATGCAGCTGAGCTCAAAAACGCAGAAAACAGGTTGAACAACTGATTTACTGCTCGATTGGATAGCTTTGGAGTCGGTTTGATGTTTGAGTGGAATTTGTTTGATTGAGTGACTTGCCGGTGGTATCCTCACTCGTTACCCTTCGTTGTTGTGAACAAAGAAATAGTCAACAAAACGTATGTAGTTACATATGTAGGTATGAAAAAATCTTTTTGAGAAAACGCTTGATCAGTGCGTAATATTTTGCTTAATATTGACTTTCCGTTGAGCACAATCATTCAAAGGTAAAAAAATGCACAAGCCCTGGTGTAATATTTTATGTTTGTGTATTTGGGACTATGTAAAAAATGTTCACCCAAAAAAATTATTTGATTGGGCAGTGCTGGATAATCCTTATTAATATAAACGCGAATGGTTTGTTTGTTACGCTTTCACGCTTTAACTACTCAATCGATCATAATGAAATTTCGGACACAGGTATCATTTAGCCCAACTTAAATTATAGGGTAGTTTTTATCTCAATTATCCAAAGGGGCGTGACACCTCATATACAAACGGAATTTTTCATACAGCATACCTCTGGAAGTATTTGTGGTAGAGTAGTGGAACTTGGTATGGATTTATATGAAATCAATACTATACTGATGGAAAAAACGTGGGTTCTTGGAAAGGGGCCCGTGGCACCTCCCAAGCGGACTGAATTTTTCGTAATGCCTCCTGTTAAAAAATTAACTTCAATTCAAAGTATTTTGTAAGGTAAATGAATTATTACAAAATGTATGTCGATCAAGTCGTTATATTTCATAAATGGTGATTCTTAGGAACAAAAGTGTTATAACGGTTTTTGGAGACAATCGCATGATGTATACTTTTGTCTAATCTATTTTTATGATAAACCTTACCGTTTAACTAAAAATTGGTAACAATAATTAAATTAAGCAAAAGAAAAATTAAAATCGCGCGAAAAGATCCAACTATATGCTTAGAAACTACATGAAATTTGCTAAAACATGCGTTTAATTTCAAGACCTGACGAGCCGGTACTCAATTTTTTTTTTTGTCAAGTAAATTTTTGATAAAAAAATAAGAAAATAAATATACCAAATAAATCATAAATACCTTCACGTGAATATTCCATGACACTAAAAAAATTGAATTCAGTAGAAAAAGGAACACTTACTTTAAGGGGTTCGCGCCAAAGGCAACTAAAATGATTAGTCGATAGCGCGCCGATTCTAGTATTTCTTTGGAAGTTTACCGTTCGTAGAGAGGCGGGGTGAGTAAATGATATAAAATTTTGTACTCATGACATTTACTTGCTCCTCTCTAAACCCAACCAGTTTTTTTTTTAATCAACTGTCCCCATGTTTTTTTCCACCTGCCTCCATATAGTCGAAACATTGTCTATTTCCACATCCCTGCTAAATTTGAGCAAGGATTTAACGGTCATCGACTTATAATAACCAAAAGGTATTACCAACTTGTTAACACCAAAGTTTAGGTTCGGGCAGGTGTTACTTCTAGACACTTGAAAAATAATCAAACTATACAAAACGCTCGCTTTATAGCGTTCTCATATCAAAATCGGCATACAATTGCATTAGCCCTTCTGCAGTTGCTGGATTTTTTTATAGAGTCAAAAACCGCAACAAAGACTACTAAATGTTATGACCGCCAAATATATAACACATTATTATTTTCATAATTAATTAGTGTACACTTGAGTTTATTTAACATTTATATAACAACTCCTAAATACTTTCTTAATAACTACATAAACTGAGTACTATTTATAATTAATAATTAACACACAATTTGAGTGCTTCCATGAAATAAATGGGTGCGTTGACACCAATTTAATTCATTTTTTTTTTGAAGCTACGACAAAGAATGCAATTGTTTGGAACTTTATGTATGGTTAAGGCTAAAGAAATCTGACCACACACAACAAGTGTCAAGTGCCTCAGTAGCAGAAACGTCATAGGTTGACAAATGCAAAATAAAAGAAACAACTATTCAGTAAATAACACAAAAAAATTCCAACAGAACACTCTGGCGGCTGCTTAGTTTTGTGATTGTTGCTGTTGTTTACACGAAAGAATGAGTACAGTGGGGGCCGCGCTCAAACATGTTTGAGTGGCTTTTGAGCACTCACTTTCTGTGTGTGTGTGTGTGTGTGTGCGGGCGTTGGGGAGCCACTGCGTTGCTGCTTGCTGCTAATTTCATTTGCGTCTCCAACAGTTGCGACGAGTCTTGTTTGAAACGTGTACGTGTACAGTTCGAAAGTGCGGCCGGCCAATTTATGGAAACATTTTTTTTTGAAGTGAAATTAAAAGTTAATATCTAATTGAGAGCAAACGCAAGAAGTATGTAATAAATGCAAATAAAAATTAAAGAAATAAAAATAAATTACATATTTTAATGCAATGAAGTATTCATTTACGAAGAAATGGCGAGAACTTAAGTGGAAACAATAAAATAAGCCAGATTTATTGAAGTGTAAAACAACTTGAAATCTGATGTAAAATTTTGCTGCACAAAGTGAGTTGTTAGCGGCCATAAAGTGTCTGAGTGGCTCAGTGCGCGGTTATGCTAGACCCACCAAATTGATGGCTCGAAGTTTTCTACACGCTCGATTAAACAAAACGAATGTGACATTTTAGTGAATAATTTTTCAATAAATTTAAAAATGCAGTGTAAAGTGTAGACGTAAAATTAATACTGAGCGTGGAAAAATATAATAAAGTGATATGTGCCTGAATTTTTCGGCAGCCAAATAACTAAAGTGAGATATGTTTATTAGACCCGACGCCAGCGGCTCTTTCGAACTTTGTGCTTGTGTGTTTTTTTTTTTAGTTTTCAGTCTGTTGCATCCTCACAAGCGCGTTTTTTGAGCTAACGAATTTTGACAGAGCTTAGAATACAAAGAATGGCGCAGACGAAAACAAACCCAGTCACATAAAAAATTAGATATTAAGTGATGAGAAAATAAAACCGAAAACATTAAAAACTTAATTTTTTATAAAAAAAAAATATTTTTTAATATTTATTATGTCGTGAAGCCAAAGTTTTCCTTTGTTTTTGATGTTCTGCGGTATTCCGGTTTTCAAGTTTTTTTATCGCTGATCCAGTACATGCAAGATTTATTTGCAGCTTGATATTTTTTGAATGCTTGTCAGCCTGCCCGCCCGCCCGCCAGTTCGCTTCACCAACCAACACCTTCAGTGTAATCTCCGTTTTGTTGTTGTTATGGCTGCTTTTCTGTTGTCGTTCAGATACGGTGCTTTGAGTATTTATTGTCCCGCTGTTGGTCTTGCTGTCTCTATATATATACATACATTTAGTATATTTTCTTGTTGTTCGTGCCTAACCCGTTTTCACACAAGTAGACACAAAGCGCCGACCGACCTGTGGCGGCAAAGCATGCGCTACATACTATGCACAGATCTCAAAGATACACTAGAACCGAGAAGGCAGCACTCAGGCGGCCGCGGCGACGAGTTAAGTGGAGCTCAACCAAGTAAACAGTCGAACGGCCATAGAAAAGTCAGCAGCCAAGCAATGTTGGTGGAGCTGTGCTCCTGCCACTCCATTTCAGTGCTCGTATTGTAGTATGTGTGCTTGCCCTGTGAGGAAACGCACTAGTTCCGAACTACTTCGGTATTCGAGAATTTAGAATAATGACTAGTGCGCGTTCATTATCTTTAACATGCTAGCAACTGGCGAAGAAAAAAAGAGAGATGTCCTATGAGGTGTCAACAGCGTTGCCACAGATGGGCTATAAATGGGAAATAAATAAATAAATAAATAGAAGTCTGTGCTCGCGAATTTCTTCGGCCATAATAAATATTATGCCGGATAGACAGGCAGTCTTAAAGACCTTAGACTCTTTTAAAACAGCATAATGGCTTGTGGGCAGATGTCAAACTCTTTTGAACCACAATAGCGTAACGATGTGGTGGGTTTCGGTCTCTCAAAGCATGCAGCCCAAATGCGCTTGTATGGTCCGGAGCCTTTTGTCGGCTGGTGGAGGAAACCCTACGTATCACGAACAGCAAACTGATACACGCTTGGGGAACGACTGTCTTGTCCATCCTAAATTTGGAACATGACAGCCTCCAAAGTGCTTAACTTCATAAATAGCCTAAGGTGGGAGTGATTACAATTAGGGTTTAAAACAATAGATATTCTTAGATGTATTTTGGAACGAATTTCCGTTATCCCATTTAAAATTTGGTTTGGAGACAAACCGGTTTCGGCGTTTTGCTATCTTCAGTGTAATTTTTCGTCGGAAACAGCAATAACCAAAAAGGAAAGATATTCTTAGGTTGCAGCGAGAGTGTTCCCGAAGTAATAAAAATATTAATAATATGTATGTGTAAAGCCAACATACATTTGTATAAGTCTGTACAGTAAACTTAATTGTTATTTGTATATCTCTGAACAGACATGGTTGGTAGTCAAATAGGTATTTAGTTCGATCTTTTATAAAACGATAAATTTCGAATTGTTTTTAGTTTCTGTATGAAAACATAATTTTTGGAAAAGTGGACTTAGCTAGCGATATGCATTTTTAAGAAGCAAAATGAAATAGCTTTTTTAAAAGTACCACATACCGTTGAACTGATGGGGATCTAGTTAAAAAGGACTAACTAAGAGAAAACTGTTTTCGGTTACTTAATATGTAGCTCTTTATTTTATGAGGCAACTGCTAAAATATTTCCAAAAAAGTCGTTATTGGTAGCATTAATGTCATTTTTATACATAGGTATATACATACGTATAAAATTGAATGCAAATTATAACCATAAAATTTAGTTAATCTACACTTAACAGCAAAAGTCTGCGTATACCATTTCTTTTTTTATTATTCAGAATATATGAAGAGTTAAAATTTGTTTTATGTTTATTTTTTTATAAAAAACATTTGTCCTGCTTAAAACAAAATCTTATAAACCGTGTTTTCAAACTTTATACAAAACAAAAGGGAAAATGCCGGAGAGTCTATGTATTATATTTCAATACATTTAATACAATTTAACGCGGAGTTATCACAAATAAGCGTTTAGACGTTTAGATTTTTAATTACAAGTATTACCGAAATAAATACCCATAATACGTAATAAATATAAATTATTTTTAAGTATAACGGTTTTAGAAAATGAAGAAATAACTGACACTTTATGCCCCTAATATTAAAGCACTGTGCCTCAAAAAGTAAATTAGTTCAAAACAAATAGCTCTTAAATCACAAAATTTGTTTATTTACAAAATTGTATGCGTGCCTATTTAAAGAAAGGGCTTTATACTATAATTCTTAGAACCAGCTCAAAACTAACCACATTTGTTCTAGCCCGGAGGTGAACTTTTTTGAACTATCTGGGAACTGTTGTTATATGAACTGTCTCAGAATCATCTAATCAAGAATCAGCTCAGAACAAGTTCAAAAGCTCTGCAGAGGGCAACAATTGTCACTTCGTAAGACATCGCCGTGTTAAAAAGACAGTTGAAAGCATTGAGTTGGGATAGATGAAGAACCAGTACCGTCCGTCCCTTTTCAGGCTAGCTCAGCGCAAGTTCTGAACCAGTTTGATTTGCTGCAGGGTACCTATCCAGCCATTTATCTGGTCGTACATTAACTTGTTCATAAATATGTATGTACATATGTATGTATACACCAGCTCAATTCAATCTGGTTGTTGCTGTTGTTGTTCCTCTTCTTTCTATAGTTGTAGTTGTTTACATGCTGGAAAAACAAGTTTTTCGAAAATATCAGCAACACAACGCCAACAATATTGGTGTTAAGAATAATAATGCAGCTAAACATGGGTTAGTAAGAGCAAATAATAATAATAATACATAATAACAACAACAATTGTAGCCATATCAACACGTTGAAAAAGGTTTAGAGTTCAAGTGAAGTTGAGGATGATTTGGAATATCTGCTCATAAATACATGCATATGTACTTGTTTGATATCAATCGGACCAAAGAGGCCCTTCCCAATTTAGAGGGAGATAAACATCCCTATATAAAGGTTATGGTTTAGTGTCTGCTGAACTTAGAGGAAGGTCAGCACACCTATACACAGTGAAGAATTCTTTGTTATACCAGAATGATTCAAAACTCCTATTCCATCTTTTACTATGTAGTTCAAGGAGTCTATGAACCTTAGCAACTTCCGTATTCCAGTAGAGCTTGGACCACTTAAAATTCCTGTATTCAGAAATAGCCCATTGGTTTAGGCTACTCTTCGCCATAGTAGCGGTTGTTTTGCTTTGGGCGGAGCCCTAATTTAGAATTGGTACCGTGTCAGATTTTTTCTTCGTACAATAAAAATTGGCTTTAAAATCAACGAAATTTTGTGCAAAATTGTGTATACATATAGGGTTTGTTTTCAGAAATTTAACGCGCTGTGAAAATCTGGTCCATCATTGATTTGCTGGTTTGGATGTCACACTAATAGCTCAGTCATTATATGCTCGACCCCGTTTGTTTTTAAGCTGCATTACTGCTATTCTCTCCTCGTCTAGGTCGAGTCTCTGCAGAAACCAGCCGCGGTGTATGAACCGTTTCATTGGAGCCCTACATCGTGTCTACATCGTGTGGTCAATAGTTATATATCCCCACCATATTATATATCGTAATCAATAATGCAAAAGGAGCTTTTCGAAAAATAAAAAAACTTTTTAAGCTAACATTTCTGTCTTTTCGTTGAAAGTTTGTTTTGCGTGGCGGGTCGCAAACCCAGCGTCCTACCCAATGCTGGGATTTTGTGGTTTTTCAACCAGATACGCGTTTATGTGGCGAACCTCTTGTTCCATCATCTCCAGGCAGACATTGTTGCTGCTTGTTCCAAGAGAGACGGCCGCTTACAGCCGCACCTACGAGTGAGCAAACGCTGCAGACTTCAGTGAGCCCATACGCCGAATAAGTTTGAGTGGCCCCACCGAAGCCTTCCCCTCTTTCTGCTATGACCCAAGTCTCCATTCGGACTGGTTACCACATTTAGCACTTGCCTTGCTCACGTTGTCCAGTGTAAGCGAACGAGGGCGCAAGAGTCGATATTGATTGAGTATAGCCTTGCAACTTTAACTGCATACTCAAAATAACGACTACATATAACCTACTAGATCGCCCACACCCGCTTCGCTGAGTGTATGAAATTTCTACGTGCGTCATTGAGTAAAATTTATATCAAGAAAACTCAATTAAAAAACAGTAGGTTGAAAATTTGTTTAACCATCTTCAAAATATTTTCAAACCAAAACTTTCTTTGTTATACTTTTTCAATTAACGCATCCCCTGAACTGAATTTGAAATTTTAAACGGATTGAAACCTCTTACATGTAGTATTGAAATGAAGCCCTTGAAACCCCATTTCTATTGATACCCATATTGTAATAAATCATTTAAAATATTGAATAGTTTGCATTTAGCTTTTCAAAAAGATGGCAACCTATGTGATACATATTATGATACATATTCAAAACCATTTAGATTCATACCAATCTTCTTTACTAATATATATTTTGAAAGCCGTTTTTTATGTGTTCGCAAAGCTCGAAAACGGCCGAACCGATTGTTTTGAAATTTCAGACACTTGCCCCAGATGCCCCAAGGATGGTTGTAGGCTAAACAAAATTTCGATGTATAAAGGGAGCGTGGCACCTCCCATACAAACAGATTTTTTCATATTGCACATCTCTGGATGTGTTCTTGGTAAAATAGTGGAACTTGGTCCGGCGATATATGAAATCAATCTTATACTCATGGAGAAAAATGGGCCATTTGGAAAGAGGGCGTGGCACAGTACAAACACATACATATAATTCTTTTGGATGCGTGTTTGTAAGTGAAATCCTCCTAAATGCCCGGAACGATTTTAACAAAGTTTTTTTGTGTGCTTTTGAGTGGCTCTCTGGATAGTGTAGTTTCACAATTTCACTTGCCAGTTGGCGCTGGAGTTAAGTTATTATTAAAAATCTTATTTATG